TTCTCTTCTGCAGACTAAATAAGCCCAGTTCCCTCAGCCTCTCCTCGTAAGTCATGTGCCCCAGACCCCTAATCATTTTTGTTGCCCTCCGCTGGACTCTCTACAATTTGTTCACATCCCTTCTGTAGTGGGGGGGACCAAAACTGGACGCAATACTCCAAGTGTGGCCTCACCAGCGCCGAATAGAGGGGAATAATCACTTCCCTCGCTCTGCTGGCAATGCTCCTACTAATGCAGCCCAATATACCATTGGCCTTCTTGGCAACAAGGGCACACTGCTGCCTCATATCCAGCTTCTCATCCACTGTAATCCCCAGTTTCTGCAGAACTGCTGCTTAGCCAGTCGGTCCCCAGCCTGTAGCGGTGCATGGGATTCTTCCTGCCTAAGTGCAGGACTCGCACTTGTCCTTGTTGAACCTCACCAGATTTCTTTTGGCCCAATCCTCCCATTTGTCTAGGTCACTCTGGACCCTGTCCCTACCCTCCATCTTATCTACCTCTCCCCCAGCTTAGTGTCATCTGTGAACTTGCTGAGGGTGCAATTAACCCCATCATCCAGATCATTAATAAAGATGTTGGACAAAACCAGCCCCAGGACCGACCCCTGGGGCACTCCGCTTGATACTGGCTGCCAACTAGACATCAAGCCATTGTTCACTACCCGTTGAGCCCAACAACCTAGCCAGCTTTCTATCCACCTTATAATCCATTCATCCAGCCCATACTTCTTTAACTTGGCGGCAAGAATACTGTGGGAGACCGTATCAAAAGCTTTGCTAAAGTCAAGACTCCAATGGCAGCAGGGCCACAGAGCTTAAATTGCAAGAACTTGGCGAAATTCTCTTTCTTTCTTTCTTTCTCTTCCCCAAGCTTCCCCTTCCCCCACCTCCACGACTGCCCGGAACTTGGAAGCCAGTTCAAAGCACGAGCAGAGGAGGACAGGTCTGAAAATAGCCCGATGCACCATTAAAATAGCCCGAGCCGTTCGACTTCTTTAGCATCACCTCAAAATAATCTCCCTCGACAGGGGGGAGCTATAAATAAGTGTGCAGCAATTTGCATAATAAACTGTTCTCCAGCAGGAATTGAGCAGAGCTCAGCCTTGTGTAGCACCTGATCTCCTCCCACGCTGGGGTGAGTTAGCGCAATGCAGATAACCGGCAGCGGCAGGGTTATTTATCATGGTAGCACTGGAGAATGTAACTGCAGGCCGGGTCAGTGGCAGGGCACGTGATGTACAGTTACTTGCTAGATTGGGTGATCTTCGGGTGACACAACGGAACGTATCACAGCTCCCCACTCTTCAGTTTAATCAGGTGCATGAGATCCGAATCCCACCCCAGTGTGTTGCCTTTCAGCAGATCCTGAGTGCCAACAGAGAGGAGGAGGAGGTCAGGCTTGGCCAAGTTGAAATAATTAACATGCCAGAGAGGAGACAGGTAGCTCTCTAGAACGGGAGGCCATTCCGTCTGCGTGCTCATCGCCTCTCACAAGCTACGTGTGGCCGTTTTGGTGAGTGCTTAGACAGGAGAGCTCCAAGGAATACCTGGGTACTCAAGCCAGTGGGGTTGCTGATCCAGCAAAAGGAGGACTGGGGGTGCTTTTGCCGCTGAAGGTGCTGCCTTTCTGTTGAGATGTGACACTAAGGTCTTGACCACTCGTGGTTATCAAAGATCCCACAGCATTCCCTGCCCCACAGCCACGGCCATATTCCAGCTCTAAGTTGTAGATTCTTCTTGTGTATTAAGCGTAGACACCTAACTTTTAGGGGCCTAGAAAATCTCAGGAACAATACTGTGACCACAACACCTGAGTTAGACGCCTAGGCTTCTACACAATGCATGGGGAACGATGGGTGTTTATCTGCTAGCAATGCACGAACCAGGGGAAGGTAGGCTTTCAGCTGCCCAAGTTGCATGTGGGACCTGAAACAAAGCAACTTGGGGGTAGGCCCTCCCTTATAATCTTTAGCCTAGTGGCTAGGGTAATCACCCAGCGTGGGGGAGACCCTCGACTCAAGTCCCTCCTCCTCCAGGGAAGAGAGAGGATTTGAACAGCACTCTGTCACCTCTCAGGTGGGTGCTCTAACCCATATGGGATATTCAGCTGCGGGGCTCCCTCAATTGCGCCTCTTGAAGTTGTTCCACTTTAATTAAACAATGGAAGATGGGAATAGTCATTGGGCCAGAGAGCTGATTAGAACGACCTTGCAGCCCAGAGGTTGGGGCTCTCCTCTAAGCGGTGGTAGAGCCTTGTTCAAATCCCATCTCCCCTTCCAGGAGGAAGGGGGACTGAAGTGGGGGTCTGCCACACCCGGGGTGAGTACCCTGATCACTAGGCTAAATTGCACGCCCCTCCCCCCCGGTTGTTAAGTATGAACTCACCTGAGGGGCCTGATCTTAGGTGCGCTCAGTAGGCACCTACCGGATCAGGCCTTGCATGTGACTTAGTCTGGCCGAACCCCAGTCTTTCCTGATGTGTACGTTGTACGGGGGCTCAAGCAGGAGCCAGGTGCCTGCCATGCGCCTGCTCGGAGGAAAAAACTTCGGCACCAAGTGCGTTTAGGTGCCTTTACGGTTTGGCAGCACCTGAGCAGGAGTTTTGTGGATCGCAAGAGGCACCTAATGACCTTTGTGGAGCCCACCCAGAGAAAATATAGCCAGGCCCTGCCCCAACACTCCTACAGTCTAAACAAGATTAGCGACAAGGGGCGGGGCTTTCAAAAGTGCCACAGGGAGTCAGGCACGCATTGACAGTCAAAGGGTGGGAGGTGTCTAACACCCGCAGGTGCTTTTGAACACTGAGGCAGGAAAGACTAGGAAGGCTGTTTATCATTATTGTTCACTTACATCCCGTGACTGTTTCTCCGGTAGATTGAACTGGATATGCTGGTTTTGGCATTCCTTCCTGTGGTGTTGGTGGTGGAGAATGGCTGTTGTGTTTCCACCCCAGAGGTGGCTGCACTTCAGTGCTGGAGAGAGAGACAAATGGCCATATAAGAGCTACAGATAACATTGACTCAAGAGTGATCACGGAGAAGAGGGGATGTGGAGAAGGTAAAGTGCAGTAGAATGATAGTGACCGATGTTCTGCAGTTTGCAGGCCTAGCTTGTCCTATCTCTGCTTTGCATTATGGCGTAAATGTCACGTACCAGAAAATGGGTAAGTAGGGTGACCAGATGTCCCGATTTTATAGGGACAGTCCTGATTTTTGGGTCTTTTTCTTATATAGGCTCCTATTACCCCCCCACCCCCGTCCCGATTTTTCACACTTGCTGTCTGGTCACCCTATGGGTAAGCGTCACCATGTCGCTTGGACGGAATGTCAGACCTGCTAGTCTCGTTTAGCTCTGGCTTGGGGGCTCGGTATCAGAATATGGAGGCTCTCTCCTCGCTGGGTGACCAGAGTTGAACTTCAGTGCAACAGCGTGGGAGCATGTTCCAAAGATGTTAGTGTCGGATCGTTTGTTCGGCTGCTTGCGTGGAACGAGTTGGTGGTGATGGGGTGCGCGTGGAGCAATCTCCCATCCTTCTTTGGTGTGGTCCAGTCAGCCAACAGCACGTTCGCTGTGAGGTGAGATGGGATGGCCCGCTGGGCTCAGGAGATTCGGTGGCAGCTGGAGATGGGCAGTTGTGATAACCCCGTTGGAACTAGGCAGTTAGCTGGAGGGAGACAGAGAACATAAAGTACTCTGCTATTAGCAGGAGTGAGAGACAGGGAAGAGGCAAGCAGAAGTTAGCAGGGAGACAGGCATCGGGGTCCAGCAGGGCAGACTCAGGGGTGTGAAATGAGGGAAATAAAAGGGAGAATCCAAATGAAGAAACCAGCAGTAACAGGGGAGGAATGGGAAATGAACTGTGAAAAGATCAATGCCCTCCTGGTCCTTCTCTCTCACTTTGATCAAATGGAAGGGCTTGGCCTGTCCGCCTTTTGTTTATTTTTTGTTCTCCAATGAGTACATCCTTACATGAGATGAGGAGGGGGGACTTGGCTACGGGGACTTTAGGTGAGGTGGGGTGGAGAGTTGAGCTCACAATCTTGACTAACAAAAATCGGCTCATCCCAGCCCTAATGACAGGTTCAGTCCAGTTCCCGGCAGTGAGGTGTCCACATCACAAAATAAACACCATGGCAATTGGCCCCTTGGCTGACGGGCTCAGCGGGGAGGCCAAGGATGCAATGGGCCGGGGAGACTGAATCGCCTCCAGAGGTGGTTCCTCCCATGGCAGCCTTCACTGCTGCTTGCTAGGCTACGCAAGGATCTTGGCTTTCCAGAGCCTTTCATTAGCATGACAGCCCAGACAAGGGTTGTCTTTAGGGTTAGGAACTGCCTTCCTCTCAATTTCTCCTGAGTTTGAGTCTGGTCCCTCTTCTGATATGGTGGAGGATCATCTCCGGTAATGCTCCTCTCCCCACCTACTTTGATGTTGCATACCTAGTTGGGGCATCAGGCTGCTCTCCTACACTTGTTGTGCCTACAAGCTAAGTATTAGGGGCTGACTCACGGGGCAGCAAGGACAGGGTGGTGCCCTTTGGCCTAATCTGGCAAGTGTTTCCCCTGCTAGCGCAGTGTGGTTCTTTGTCCCCCTCTAACGGCCGGCGGAGGTGTATGTATCAAGCTCAGATCCCTTGGTTCAGGCAGTAGTTCCTGCTTTCGGATCCAAAGGGGCTGCGTTCAATCGCCACAAACGGCTCAGCTAGGGATGGCGTTTCATGTGTCTTAATAACAGTATTGAGCTACTGGGTGCGCTGGTGATGGCTGGGTTACAGACAATCTACATTAGGGACTTTCTGAGTTGGTTGGTGGTTTTTCTCAGAGCCCTGGAAAGAGACTCCATCTACTTCATTTAGCCGCCCTGCTATGCAACACGCTCCCGATGACTCGCTGTGCATGACTCGATCCCTCCTGCCCCGGCTCACTGAGCAGCTTGGGGAGAATGTACACGTATCCCTTCTCTTTTCCTGGCAGGTGTCTCTCTGACTCTGGAGGGTCCTCTGCGAATGGAGCTGCCAATAGGCGGTGAGTCATTTTGAACATGCCTGGATCCAGAAGGCATCATGTGGTTGATGATTCATGTGTCTCACCTGTTTGACGGTTTAAATAAACTCTTATTCCAAGGGCATGTCGCTGTGAGGGACACTGGATGTAGAATTGCATTTCTACTTGGCAACGTATATTTATTTCTAGTGGGGTGTTTCCATCATGTATTTTTATTACTCTCTAGGTATCTGTGTATATGAGCCACTGTACGGTAGTCACACGGCCAACTCAACCATCACCATACCAGGTCATTGCTGTAATCCCTATACTTAGGAGATCCATTAGTACCACAATCGCTGTGGAGTAGGGTTACCAGATGTCCCCATTTTATAGGGGCAGTCCCAATTTGGGGGGCTTTTTCTTATATGGGCACCTATTACCCCCGCACCCTCTGTCCCGATTTTTTACACTTGCTGTCTGGTCACCCTACGGTGGAGGGACAACTACTGTGTTTTCAATGGCACTTTCTGTACCTTCCTCTCATTCACATCTCTTGGAATAACTCACCCGTCCGTCATGCTGTATCCCTTATGGACAAGCACTGTATTCATCTATGAAAAGGAGCATTGGGTAGTGGTTGAGTTCGCCGTTGTGGCTTTAGGACACGAGTTTAGGTGGGGTAACATAGCTCTACTTTGGGTCCCTTTAGCTGCACACACCCTCATTAATCGAAGGCCCTTTGGAAGTCCCTTTAGTTCTCTGCCAAAAGTACCAGCACCTTTGCAATGGCTGCTTTGGAGCCATTATTATATAGTCTCGCCAACCCCAGAACGAAGGCTGAAATCACATCTCCACGGGTTATACTTGTGACCTTGCAGGCTATATGATTTTATAAAAATATGCTAATGCGTGAATATAATGTAACTGGAATATGCTTCATGCAAAAGGTCTCTTGTAAGGTATCATTACAAAGCTTATAATCTACTGTGTTCATCCTGTGTCTATAAATGTAGCGCTCTTGTATCTAAAACTAGAAATATGAAATATAACTCTGTGGGCCTATTGTAATTATGCAAAGGGTGGGCCATTAATGGTGGTTTGGAATCTTGATGGCTCCCATCAACCGGGACAATTGATTGTGGATGGCTCTGTTTGCAGGCAGGCCTTGCTGTGAGTCAGGCTGGGAGGAATGAAGGCTTGGGGTCTTACAGTGACATGTGATCATGTTACCTGAACTGGAATCCATCTTTAACCTGGTGCTTTTCCAGTGAGGAGGGGTGGGAACCCAGAGGGACAAAGGATTCCCGCCTTATGCAAAAGATATATAAGTGGGTGGAACAGAACAAAGGGGAGAGCCATCATGAGGAATCCCCTAGCTACCACCTGAGCTGGAACAAGAGCTGTACCAGGGGAAAGGATTGTGCCCAGACTAGGAAGGTGTCCAGTCTGAGAAAAGAAACGTATTGAAACATCTCTAAGGGTGAGATTTTACCTGTATTCAGTTGTATTACTGTATTAGGTTTAGATTTGTGTGTTTTATTTTACTTGGTAATTCACTTTGTTCTGTCTATCACTACTTGGAACCACTTAAATCCTACTTTCTGTATTTAATAAAATCACTTTTTACTTATTAATTAACCCAGGGTATGTATTAATACCTGGGGGAGGGGGTGGGACAAAAAGCTGTGCATATCTCTCTATCAGTGTTATAGAGGGTAAATATTTTCTGATTTCACCCTGTATAAGATTTATAGAGGGCAAAACAGATTTATTTGGG